ACTTGGCACTTATTACTCGGTTTGTTTGGGTTTGTATGTGGGTTTGGAGGTGTGGACTTCTTACTACGGTTGGATCCTCGTATCATTCCCGGATGCCTCGTCTATTTCTTCATCTCTTGTTTAGTTTCTTCCTTTGGATGGTTTCCTGGGAGATTGTTTACTTATTTCCTATTTGGGACCTTTTCTCATATCTCGCTTTTGTTTCTGGCTTTTCTTTCTGGGTTTGGTTTGAATATCGTCCCGCTGCGTTTCATTTTTAATTCCCTATTGGATGCCTTGGTCCTTGGATACCCTCCTTGGGCCTCGCAGTACTGTTTACTTACTTCCCACTTTGGACATTACCCCTTTTTGTCATTCGGATTTTACTGACAGAAACGGTAGTTCGACATCGCGCTCAACATCGGCGATGCCCCCACCTTCGTCGACCTCTCCCTCACCTACAACACCGCCCTCCTCACGCCCCCCCAAGCCACCGCCCTCGCAGCCACCTTCACCCACACCATCGACGCCATCCTCGACTCCATGACCTCCCCACCCACCTCTTTACGTCTACTCACCCCCTCCGCGGCATCCCAAATCACCACGTGGAACACGGCCCCCACCACCCCTTTGCCGTCTCTCGCAGACCATTTAATTGCAAAACACCTCACTACCCGCCCGCACCAACCCGCCATCGCCGGCTACGACGTCTCGCTCACCCACGCCGAACTGGATACTCTGACAACCTCCATCGCAGCCCACCTCGTGTCAGAATACTCCGTCACCCCCAACACCTTGGTCCCCTTCTGTTTCGAAAAGTCCTCCTGGGCCATCATCGCCATGTTATCCATCCTCAAAGCCGGCGCTGCGTTTGTGCCTCTCGATCCTAAACACCCCATCGACCGGTTGGTAGCTCTCGCTCGGCGGGTTCACGCGCCGTTGGTGATCTGCTCCGAATCCCTCGAACAAACTGGCTTGGATATAGGGGGGAGGTTGACGATTCCTTATTTACTGCTTGGGCCTAACGCAGTGGATAACATCCGGCCTGTTACCGGGCCGTTGACACCTGCGGGCCGAACGCCGGATGATCTGGCGTATTGTCTGTTTACGTCTGGAAGCACCGGCACTCCCAAAGGCGTGCGCATCTCCCACGCCGCCTTATCAGCCGGCGCGACCCGCCACGGCGCCTACTTCCACTACCTCCCTGCTTCTCGGGTGTTACAATTCGCGTCGTATGTGTTCGACGCGTGCATCACGGAGATCCTCACGACTCTCATTGCGGGGGGTTGTGTGTGTGTCCCGTCGGAGGAGATAAGAATGGATGTGCGTGGTGGGGGGCTGGCGCAGTTTGTGAGGGATCAGAGGGTTAATCATGCGTTGTTGACGCCGAGCGTGTTGGCGATGTTGACGCCGGCTGAGGTACCGGGGATTGAGACGTTGTTGTTGGGTGGTGAGGCGGCGGCGTATGGGTTGATTGATGCTTGGAGACGGGCGAGGACTGCGAATGGTGCGGAGAGGAGGGTTATGATTGCTTATGGCCCGACGGAGTGTACTGTTATTTGTGCGGGGGTGGATGTTTCGCTTTCCGCGCCGTCAGCCAACCTCCTCCGTCCCGGCATGAACGTTATCGGTTTCCCCGTTGCGTCTGCCGCGCATCTGACCATGCCCGACAACCCGGATGTGTTAGCCCCTGTTGGAGCTGTGGGCGAGTTGTGCGTTGCCGGACCGATCTTGGCACAGGGGTATCTCGACGACGAGACCAAAACCGCCGCGGCGTTTGTTTTCCCCGCATGGGCCCGCGGCGAGAGGGTGTATCGCACCGGCGACCTGGTGCGGTACCGCGAGGATGGCGGGATGGAGTATCTCGGCAGAAAGGACGGACAGGTCAAAGTACGGGGACAGAGGATTGAGCTCGGGGAGATTGAGGAGCAGGTTGCGGGGTGTAAGGAAGTGCAGAATGGCGCGGTGGTGTTGGTCAAGCAGGGGGTGTGTGCTGGGAAGCTTGTGGGGGTGGTTACGCTGCGCGCGGGGAGTGGGAAGTACGTTGTTGTTGGGAGGTTGGAGGGGGGGAATGGAGAGGGTTTGGATGTGTTGGGTGGTGAGGCGATTAAGGCTGCAGCCTCAAAAGTGGGAGATGCGATTGGGGATGTGCTGCCGGGGTTTATGGTGCCGAGTGTGTGGGTGGTTGTTGGGCAGTTGCCGTTGATGGCGTCGGGGAAGACGGATAGGAGGTTTCTTGGGGGGTGTTTGCAGGGGATGAGTGCCGAGGTGTATGCTGCTTGTACTGGGCAGGCTGCTCCGTCTACTGCTGCCTCTGGGACACCCTCTGCTGGCGCTGCTACTCACTCAGACACGCAGTCAGACGGACTAACACCCGTGGAGAGCACCATCCGCGGGGTGTGGGCAGCCGTGCTGAACGTCCCGGCGCACACGATCAACCCGGATTCTGGCTCGTTTATCAAGTCAGGAGGCGACTCGATCTCGGCCATGGAAGTCGTCGCGCAGTGCCGTGGCAAGGGCATTCCCCTACTGATTGAGCAGCTGCTCAAGGCCAAGAGCGTCAAGTTGCTGGCCAAGAATTTCAAGGATCTCAAGTTGGAATCCGAGACAGCCCAAACTTCGACCAGTGCCGGCCCTGCCCAGGGTTCCAGCTCTACAACTATGGCTGCGGCAGAAGAAGACGAAGAAGACGACGAAAACATTACCATGTTCGCGCTCTCCCCCATCCAGCGCATGTTCACCCGCCTCTCCCCCGGCGAAAACCACTTCAACCAAAGCTTCCTCCTCAAAGTCGCTCCCACGACCACCCTCGACGAACCCACCCTCCGCCGCGCCCTCGACGTCGTCGTCAAACGCCACGCCATGCTCCGCGCCCGCTTCCAAAAGCTCGGCCGCACCTTCAAACAATGGATCGAGCCCACCGTCGACGACTCCTACCTCTTCCGCTCCTGGGATCTCCCCCCGAATCCAACCTTCTCCGACGAAGCCCTAACCCAAATCCGCGAAACCCAACGCACCCTCGATCTCGAAAACGGTCCCGTCTTCTCCGGCGACCTCCTCAACCTCGGCACCGACCAATACCTCTTCCTCACAGCCCACCATCTCGTCATCGACCTCGTCTCCTGGCGCATCATCCTCAAAGACCTCGAAGACTATCTCGTGTCTGGCTCCATCACCCCCTACCGCAGCCTCTCCTTCGAAAAATGGTGCACCCTCCTCTTAGCACGGCGCAAAGCCCTCTCGTCCACGTCCACCGTGCCCTTCCCTGTTGCCAAGCCTGATTATGGGTATTGGAGTATGCAGGGGAAGCCGAACTATGCGGCGGATTTTGAGCATAGGCAGTTTACGCTGAGTGCCGAGACGTCGGCTGCGTTGTTGGGGGGATGTAATGAGAAGCTGGGGACGGAGGCGTTGGATTTGTTTTTTGCGGGGGTGATGCAGTCGTTTGCAGTTACTTTCCCGGATCGGGCGATTCCGCCGGTGTACAACGAGGGACATGGGAGGGAGCCGTGGGATTCGAGCATCGACCTCTCGCGAACGGTTGGGTGGTTTACCACGATTGCGCCGGTGTGGGTGGATAAGCAGCAGTGTGCAGGTGGGATTGTGGACTATGTGAAGAAGACGAAGGAGGTCCGCTCGCAAATCCCGGCGAAAGGGTTTTCCTACTTTTCAACTCTCGACGTTGAGAGGGTCCCGTTTGCGATTGAAGTCTCGTTCAACTACTTTGGATCGTTCCAGCAGCTCGACCGGCCGGATGCGTTGTTGAGACAGGTTCATTTCCGGAATTTGGGCGAGCATGCCGATCCCGAAGAGGTTGGGGAAGGACACAAGAAGTTTTCGTTGGTGGATATCAACGCCGAGAGTGAAGGCGGGAAGTTGGTGTTTACATTCAGTTTCAACGGGAAGATGGGCAAGAGAGCCCAGGTCGAGCAGTGGATGAAGGCATACGAGCAAAGTCTGGAGGAGATTGCACGAGTGCTAGGCAAGTCGGAGCCAAAGAGTGTCGGCACGGGAGTCAGCTCGATTCTCAAACCGGCCAACACCCCATCCGTCCCGGCCAGCCTCAAACCTACCGTCTCCTTCTCGGGTACTGGCCCTGAGAAAAACACCGGAACAACAGCCGGCATCCCCAACACCTCAGTCGAAGCCATCTACCCCTGCACGCCCTCCCAACAAGGCATGCTCCTCACCCAAACCAAAGACCCCGACATGTACTGGTTCCGCTCCGTCTACGAGCTCTCCCCGGCCCCATCCACCTCCGCCCTCCGCCAAGCCTGGACCGCCGTCGTCGCCCGTCACCCCGTCCTCCGCACCATCTTCATCGAGCAGGACGCCACCGACGGGCTGTACGATCAACTCGTGCTCAAGGAACATGACCCGGCTGTGATCGAGGATACCATCCCCCCCACCCACGGTTCCTCCTCCGACGATGACCTAGCCGAATCCCTCAAGATTCGAACAGTCCCGGGGGAGTTATTATCCCGTCGTGCACCCCAGCACCAGTTGCTCATTGCTCGCCAACCAACAACCGGCAGGGTGTTTGCCAGTTGGTTGCTGTCGCATGCCATTGCGGACGGCAGTTCCATGGGCATCATCCTCCGCGACCTAACCTCTGTCCTCGAAGGCCGGCCCCTCCCGCTCGGCAAGCCCCTCTTACAAAACTACACCGATTACGTCCGCTCTCGAGACCCCGCGGCCGATATTGAATTCTGGAAGGGCGCGCTGGAGGGGGTGGAGCCGTGTTTCTTACCTGTTGACTCGCAGCCTGTGCATGGGCAGGGGCATAGCAGGTCGTATTCCCAACCGCAACCGCAACCGCAGCCGGTGGCGGAATTGTGCAAGACAGAGTTGGATCTCAGCGGGATTCCCTACGCAGCGATCGTGTCGACTGCACGAACGTGCGACGCCTCGCCGTTCTCACTCCTCCAAACAGTCTGGGCGCTCGTCCTGCGCGAATTCGCCTCGCCGCCTCCGTCACGGTCGTCATCCACCGCCGCTGGCTCACCCTTCTCCACGGCTGACAAGACGGAGTCTACGTTTGGGATTGTGACCTCCGGCCGGGACTTACCCATCGCGAATATTGGGGAGATAGTCGGACCGCTGGTGAATATCCTCGTGTCACGCGTCAAACTGGAGGAAGGGAAGACGGTGGCGGAGGTGGTCGAGCAGGTGCACGAGGGGTTTGTGGATGCTTTGGGGTGTCAGACTGTGGGGTTGGCCGAGGTTGTGCACGAGGTGGGTGTGAATGGGGTGAGTGGGAGGGGGAATGGGGGGAGTGGGTTGTTTAATACGGGGATGACGTTGCAGAAGGCGGGTGGACAGGGAAGTGAACAGCAGGGAGGAGTGGAGTTTAGGGCGATGGGGGGGCAGGATCCGACGGAGGTGAGTCTGCTTTTCTCTTATTTCTTATTTCTGGTTTTGAGTTTGTTGGTGTTGAGTCGGTGTTGAGTCGGGGTTGAGTGGGTTGCTGTGGTGTCTGTTTACTTTCACTGCTGTTTACTTTGTCCGGTTCAGGGGCAGGGTTAGGGTTCCTACCTAGATTTGATGATACTAACCGAGACCATTAGTTCGACCTCGTCGTCCAAGCCCTCGACACCTCCACCGCCCTGCGCATAACCTTCTCCTACTGGACCCCCAAAATCACCCCCGCCCGCGCCTCCGCCATGGCCTCCGTCTTCACCTCCTTCCTCTCCCAAATCATCACCAACCCCCACCAGCCCCCTGCCTCCCTCGACCCGACCTCCGCATCCGACCTCTCCCAGCTCTGGACCTGGAACCACTCCGTCCCTGCGCCCTTAGACATCCGCATTGAGGAGATGATCGCCCACCGCACGGCGGAAAACCCGGATCTCGACGCGCTGTGGTCGTCGACTGATATTTTGACGTATGGGCAGTTGGATTTGTTGTCGGCGCGTATCGCGCAGGGTGTCCTGTCCGACGTAGCCCGCGAAGAGATTGTACCGCTGTGTTTCGAAAAGTCCATCTGGATCGTCGTCGCCATGCTCGCAGTCCTCAAAGCCGGCGGGACCATCGTGCTCATGGACCCGTCGCACCCGCTCTCCCGGTTACGCACCATCGCGTCCACTGTTCGCGCCAAGCGCGTCCTCTGCTCCCCTGCGCAGGCTGAGTTGTGTCAGGGGCCGGAGGGGCTGGATCTGCCGACGGTGGCAATTTCGAGGGATATGTTCCAGCGCCGGTCTGGTCTCCCAGGAACGGCCCCCCGATCTTTCATGAGCGTCAGCCGGAAACGCAAAGCAAAGGGGAGTAGCGACGCAGCGTACGTGGTGTTCACCTCCGGCTCCACAGGCACCCCCAAAGGCTCAGTCACCGAGCACAAAGCCTTCTGCACGGCCACGCAACACTACCACCAAGCGATCGGCCAACTCCCCGGCTCCCGCGTGCTACAATTCGCCTCCTACTCCTTCGACGCCTCCTTCCTCGAAATCCTCGGCAGTCTAATGGTCGGCGCAACAGTCTGCGTCCCCAGCGAAGAAGAGCGCAAATCCCGCCTCGCCGAATTCATCAACGCCTCCAGCACGTCCTTCGCCGTCATCACGCCCACCGTCGCCTCGCTACTCACCCCGGAAACCGTCCCGTCCCTGCGCACGCTGGCGCTGTGTGGCGAGCCGATGACCACGGCGCATATCAATGTGTGGGCGGACAGAGTCAGATTGGTGAATGCGTTTGGCCCGTCGGAGTGTTGTGTCGGGTCCGCGGCGAATGAGGCGGTTACTGTCGGGGATAGTCCCAAGTGTATTGGCACGGCGGTGTCGTGTTGTTATTGGGTGGTGCATCCGAGGAATCATGATCGGTTGGTGAGGATTGGGGCTGTTGGTGAACTGCTGATTGAAGGGCCGATTCTGGCACGCGAGTATTTGCATGAGCCAGAGAAGACGGCTGCTGCTTTCCTGGAGACGGCGCCGGAATGGGCGCGGCAACATCCAGGACGGGCTACGAGGTTGTATAAAACCGGGGATTTGGTGGTGCAGAATGCGGACGGGACGTTTCTGTATGTCGGGCGCAAGGACACGCAGGCCAAGTTTCGAGGGCAGAGGCTGGAGTTGGGGGATATTGAGCAGGCGTTCCGAGATGTGTACCCGGCCGATACTGTCGTGGCCGAGGTGGTGGCTTCGGACCAGCCAAGGATCGTGCTGTTTTTCTCGGCGAGAGACGGTGTCGCAGCCAACTTTGACCCCGCGGCCGTGCAGCAAAAGATGGCCGACAAGATCCCCGCGTACATGGTCCCGTCCGTCCTCACGCCGTTGGCCGAACTCCCGCGCATGCCGTCCGGCAAAGTCGACCGGAAGAAGATCAAGGAACTCGGCGCGGCGTTACCGACTGGTCCGGCCACGCAAACATCCGGCCGAGCCCCCAGCAGCGAGATGGAGCTGGCGGTCGCTGACCTATGGAGAGAGGTTCTCAAGTCGGCCCCGCCGCGGTTGTCAGTGGAGGACTCGTTCTTCCATGTCGGCGGTGATTCGTACACGGCCATGAAGCTGGTGACGGCTGCGAGGGGACGGGGTGTGGTACTCAGTGTGGCGAGTATCATGCAAGCGCCGAAACTGGGTGATATGGCGCTCAAGGCGTCGTCGTCTACCCTATCCAAGACGCCAGCCTTACCGGGTTCTCAGTCAACTACCCCCGGATCTCACCCAACTCTCGGATCACAGCAAACCCAAGGTTCCCAGGGGTCACCGCTAGTCCCCCCATTCAGTTTGCTGCCAACACCCCCCAGCCAAGCCCACCTCGCCGAAGCAGCCCGCCAATGCTCCCTTCCCGTCTCTGCTCTAGTTGACCTCTACCCCTGCACCCCCCTACAAGAAGGTCTCTTCGTGCTCTCCATCCGCCAAGCCGGGGCCTACGTCGCGCGGCACGCCTATCGTCTCCCAGCCAATCTCGACCTCACTCGCTACCAAGCCGCCTGGGAACAAGTCTACGCCGCGGACGGTAACACCATCCTCCGCACACGTATCGTCCAACTAGAGGGCGTGGGCAAAGCCAAAGGTGCCAAAGGCGCCAAAAAGGGGGGCTTGTACCAGGTGGTAGTCGACCAACCACTCAACTGGCAACGAGCAACCTCTCTCGATGCATTCCATACCCCGAAACCAGTCGCCCTCGGCACGCCCCTGGTGGAGTTCGCCGTTGTCAACTCTGCTCGTGAACGCTATCTCGTGTTGACAATGCACCATGCCGCGTATGACGCTACCTCTCTCGGTCTGTTACTCTCCGACGTTTCCGCTGTTTACCACGGCAGTGCCCCAGCAGAGTCACGCATTCCATTCCATCATTTCATCGCGACGCTGCAGGCTACACCGGTGGAAAGCACGACTGCGTTCTGGACGGCGTATCTTGCCAATGCGCAGGCGTTGACATTCCCGGCTATTCCGCGCGGACATGTACCGAGCGCGGATCAGAATTATGAGCGGGATGTTGCGTTACCGACGCCGGGTACTACGGCGACAGCGGTAAAGGGGTTTACCACGTCTACGCTTATTCGCGCGGCTTGGGCGTTGGTTTTGGCTAGACATGCTAACACGGCTGATGTCGTTTTCGGCGAAACTCTATCAGGTCGGAATGGAGAAGGAGTACTTGGAGGAGGAGAAGAATCCGAAGTCCAAGGCCCCATGATCACCACCTTACCGGTGCGAGTCAAAATCCCCCTTCCCAGCTCTCCACGGGGGATTCAGGAACTGTTGAAGAGGGTGCAGGGGGATTTGGTAGATGTCATCCCGCATCAGCATCATGGGTTGCAGAATATTCGGTTGGTGTCGCAGGCGGCGGCGGCGGCGTGTAGTTTTGCTTGTTCGGTGACCATTGCGCCCGGGGGAGGGCCGCCGGGAGAGGGAGAGGGGGGACTGGGGTTGGAGATGGTGGAGGTGGGGGAGGAACCGGTTATGAGTTATCCTTTGAGTGTGCAGTTTATTTTGGGGCAGAATGAGAATGGACCAGGGGCTGGGGGGAGAGAGTTGAAGGTGTCGGTGTATTATGACGGAATGTTGGTGGAGGCTGGGAAGGTGGAGCAGATGGTGGGAGAGTTTGGACGGGTGCTTACTGGATTGGCAGCCAGTAATGAAGCGGATGGGCTGGCGAGTTTGGAGAGGGTGTTTGCTGTTGAGCAACCTGGCCAAGAGGTTGGATTGGGAGTGGAGTATGTACCGGGACAACAGGTTCAGGAGGATGCTGGAGAAGGGTATGGAGATGGTGCGTACGGAAAGAATGTGTTGGATGTGTTGAATGAGGAGGACGAGGGTGAAGAAGAGGAAGAGGAGGAGGAAGTTGGACAGGGGATGAGCCAGCCACCCGCGGATATTGATTGGGAGGCCGAGATGAAGACGCTGTGGGCTGACATCCTGGGCATGGAGCCTGATGAAATTTCGGCAAGCGACGACTTCTTCCAGCTCGGTGGCGACTCCATCGCGTCGATGCGCCTGGTCACGGCTGCGGAGCGTCGGCATATCAAATTGACGGTGGCCGACATCTTCCAGCATCCGACGCTCGAAGAACTGTGCGACCACGCTGCGGCTACTCATGTTCCGGCTGTTGCTCACACAGAAGGCCAAGGCGATGGTCATGAAGGAGGACCAGTCCAAGCGCAGATCCAAGAAGACGAAGAGTACGAACCGTTCGGCGTCATGGACATCCTGGACCTCGACGCCGACGAGGTCGTGCACACCGTCTGCCGGCAGCTCTCCGTCTTCCCCGGCGACGTCGAGGACGTCTACCCGGCCACCGACTACCAAGCCTGGGCCATCAGCCACGGCCTGATGCGCAGCCGCGGCAACACCAACTACTTTTTGTTCCGTCTACACGGCCTGCTCGACACCTTCCGCCTCGAACAAGCCTGCCGCAAGATGGTCGCCTGCAACCCGATCCTGCGCACCCTCTTCACGACTCTCCGTGGCCAGGTCATGCAGGTCGTCCTCCGGTCCTACCAGATCGAGTTTCTGCGGTATGGCGCCGAGCACACCGCCGACGACGCCTTCATCCGGTGGCTCGTCGAGCAGGACACCCAGCGGTCGGCACACTTGTCGCAGAGTATTGTGCGGTTCAAGCTGGTGCTCCACGCCGACGGCTACTACGTCCTCATCATGCGCATGTCCCACGCCCAGTACGACGGCATGTGCATGCCGCTGCTGATCCAGGACCTCGAGCACAGCTACAACGGCTTGGACCCCGACCCGCGGCCGTCGTTTGGCCACTTCATCCAGGGGGCTACCCGACGAGAGGAAAAGGCCATCGACTTCTGGGGGACGCTGCTCGATGGGTCTTGCATGACCGAGATCGTTGAGCACCCGGGACCAGCACACAAGCACAACGTCGACACCATCCGCACGCGCACCTTACCGCCCATCCCGGTGAACGTGGCCGGTATGTCGCAGGCTACCCTCGTCAAGGCCGCGTGGGCGTTGGTGCTCGCCAAGATGTCCTCCCAGCGGGATATTGTCTTTGGCAACCTCATCTTTGGCCGCAACATGCCTGTTCCGGGCGTGCGAGACATTTCCGGCCCCTGCATCAACATCATCCCAATCCGCGTCAAGGTCAACGCCATGGACAGCATCCACGATCTACTCCGGCTCGTCCAGGAGCAACAAGGCGCCGCCATGCCCCACGAGAGCCTAGGTTTCCGCCGCTTGATCAAGAACTGCACCGACTGGCCGCACTGGACGCGTTTCTCCTCCGTCGTCCAGCATCAACAACTCGGCCGCGACGGTTCCGAGGGCCAGACCTTCCAGCTCGCCGACAATTTGACGTGTGAAATGGGCGTCCTCGGCCCGGCTTACGACTCCGCCGATCTCTGGGTCCAAACCACCCCCATGACCGACTCCTTCAAAGTCGAAATCGGCTCCTGCAGCTCCGTCGTCCAGCCCGCCGTCGCCGAGATGCTCCTCGACAAGCTCTGCGCCACCCTCTGCATCTTCGCCGCCATCTCCCCCGGCACCGGCCCCCATCTCTGGGAACTCCTCGCCCGCGACGGCGCCCCCGTCATCCCCATCAAGTCCTCCGTCGTCGAACAAGTCTGGGGCAATGTGCTCCCCGACGCCGAATTCATCGCCTGGGACACCCCCTACTTCGACATCTGGGGCGACGAGATCGCGCCAGTCCGCTTCCTCGAAGAATTCGCCGCCCACGGTCTGCAGTTCGACATGGAAGACATCCTCGAACACCCCACCAAACAAGCCATGATGATGCTCACCTCCCGCATGATGCAGTCCTCGCAACACCGATCCCGCAACGGCCAACGCCAGAACTCCGCCCGACCGCCCACAGCCGGCACAATGCCACCCACCCCGCAGTCCTTTGCCAACCCGCAATCGTTTGGGCAATCATTCGGAGGCCAATCATTTACCAACCCAGGCCAATCCTTCCCCGGTAGCCACGCCCACCAGTCCTTCAACGGCCAATCCTTCGGCCCCCCGCAAGCCTTCGGCCACGACTCCCACGACATGATGATGTCCGCCGCAGCAGCCATGACCTCCTCCCACCAGTCGCAACAAAGCGCCATCGCAACTACCAACGGCCGCGGCTTCTGGATGCTCGACGGGTCTAAGAAATCCCAGCCTCAGCCTTCCGCTCTTCACCCCCATTCCCACAATACCCAGTACAACAACTACCCTCCGTCGACGGCAGCGTCGGTGACGAATGTCACGAAACGGAATCGGGGTGCGAGCGCTAGTACCAGCCGCCCGCCGTCGGCTATCAACTCGCCTTATCTCGGTGCTACTCGGGCTGGTGGTGGTGCCCCCGGAGCCGGAACGGGTGTGATGCCCCCGCGCCTAGGCCTCGGGCCGAGGAAGGGGACGGCGGGGACGGGTACCTCCAACACCCTGCCTACGCTGGCGTCGTTGGCGGGGAGGAGGACGAATACAGCCGCGTTGGGTTCGTCTTCTTCGGCACTGCCTACGCCTGATATCCACGCCGCGCAGAATCAGAATCTACAGGCTGCTCAAGGACAGGGAGTGCAAAGGTCTTGGACACCCGGTGGGACGAGGCAGGTATCAGGGAGTGCGTTGGGACGGACGAGGAGTCCGTACGCCACTGCCCAACAACAAGCCCAGGGTCAGATCCAAAGTGGAAGTCGACCTGGCACGCCGTCTAGTGCTGGCTCGGAACACGGCCATGGACATGCACATGCACACGGCGGTCACGGATTCGGAATAGGAGGAGGAAACACGCTATCAGCACCCGGCCACAGCCTCGGGACGGGGGGTATCCAACGGCCAATGACCAAAAGCCCCGGGACGGCCCTAAGAGGGTTGAAGATGCCTGATTACGGCCGGCCACAGAGTCAGCCGCAGTATGGGATGCACCAGCAACAGGGTCTGCAGCAGCAAGCTCTGGCCCAGCAAGGACTACAGCAGCAGCAACAACAAGCCCTAGGCGGCTACGCACAACAATACGCACAGCAATACAACCAAACCCACGGCCATGCCCAACCCCCAATCCATGGCCAGACACAAGGGGGCTATAACCCCCTCGGCCACAACCATACTCAGAGCCCAAGTCCAGGGTTGGCACAGCACAGTCTAGGACAATCGCAATACCCAACCCCCCTCCAAACAACAGGCCTGCAGTCCAACCACAGCCAGCACCCGCCTCATTCGTTGTTGGCGCCTGATGATGGGCCGGATGGGGGGGAGGGGGACGGAGAGGGGGTTGTGGGGGGACGGAGGAGGAGGAGGAAGGTTTAATTGATCATGGGTTGATGGGTGGTGGATGGACATGGGAGTAGAAAAGAAAAAGAAAAAAAGGTCAAAATGAGAAACTGAAAAAAAAAAAAGAGCAAAGAAAAGTGGGGGATCGAAATGAGTTGAGGGATATGAGTGGGTTATCGGTTGTTGATTTTGTCTGTTTTGGCTTGTTTCTTCTGTCCGTGGTTAGTTATTTCTTTGGTCCTTGCTTATTTCGTTGGTTCCTCGTCACCTCTTATGTCCTTCTTGTTATGCTGTTTGTTTGTTGTCGTTAATTATATTTAGTTGTCTCCTTGCGTCTTCGCGGTTGCTTACAATGCTTGGTCAGTTGTTTACTCTTTAGTTCTGCTTGTTCTTAGTTACTCCGTTCTGTAACTAGTTGATTTCCTTGAATTGAGTGCTTACTTCGCCTGTCTGATCTGTTGAAGAGTTTGCTATAAAATGATTATTTGCCCAAAGTAAACTAACGTACCTTATAAGCGAGCCGAACATATAAGCGAGCCGAACACTCTCCACCAC